AAAAAACTTTCGCTGCTCACGTGTCAAATCCTTTTTAATGAGTTTTTGAAGCATCAAAAACTTGCGAAAGTTTTTTGATTTTACCACTTCACTACTGCCCTTCACCGCAGCTCTTACAACGTATTGGAAATGTAGAGAAAATCAGGCTTTAGTAGCACTAGAAAATCAACAAAGGCAAATAATTCCAATGATAGATAATATTGTACCCAATGCATTTTTATCAGCAGGAGATTTTATAGGTTCTTTATAGGATTTTATATAGGTTTTAAAATATATAGCTATATAAACATGCATACATATATATTTTAAAGTTAAATAAAGGAAGCAAAAATACAATAGCGGTATTCATCTAACATCACAAAGTACCGCTACACGTAATAAAATTATAAGTATGTGTGGAGTTTGAAATTGTATCACGTTTGTCTGCAGCTTATCACGTAATATGAATACCCCTAATAAAATAAAGTAAAATAAAATAAGATAGTCTTTTTTTTTTACTTTTTGATCCTTCCGAAAGGTCAGCAGTAATGCCAACTATAAACGCCAAGTCCCCCCTCTTCCTTTTTACCAGCATCGTTGTCCGCACTGTATACTTTCAGCAAGCTGATTCCATATAATTCCACTTAAATAAATTTGGTCAGACCTGCGTTCATTTCGCCATATTCTGCGTAAGAGTGAATGCATGCACCTTATCAACTCCTCGCCTCCATACCAAAATAACTCATCTGACAGATTGTTGGCTCCACCTGCTTTGTTGTTTTTTCAGCTGCATAATTTCAATTCGTATCTCGTCATAATAAGGCGCTGGGATGATTTTTTTTAGCTCTTTGTTCCAGCTCTGCTCCATATACCAGCTTTTGAGCCCTGTGGAATCTGTGTAAATATCCTAAATTTATTTAGGCACTTCATGTTTTTTTCCGAAAAAAAAAACGATAAGATAAGATATTGGGGATTTTTGCGGAATATTTTTTAACGTTTTTCAAGCAGGCTTTTTTATAAAAAGATTGTTCATACCTTTACGAAAATCTAATTTATACATATTTAAGAAAAATTCTAAAAATTTTCATACAAATTTTTTAGCTTGCTAATTAGAATTTTTATAATTTTTTTTAGTACGCCGATAAAGTAAAAAAAAAAAACAAAAGAGAGGCTATAAAAAATATAATTGATTTTTAGTCTTTTTTTTGCTGGCAACTTTTGTAGTTTTTTTCATATAACAAGTGGAATGCATAACAACTGGCGTTGATTGCGCATTTTGTCCTTAAAAATTTCATGAGCCTTGTAACTGCATACCCAAAAATTTTAAAAAAGTTTTGTTATTCCTTGTGCATATACATATTACTTGTTTCATCGATATAACAATGATAGAATGAATTTCGAGTGTGCGAATAAAAATAGTAAAAATGGAATTTTAGTTTCTCAAATCACTGTCATCTTTTACTCAATGTAATTTTTTGCTTTGTTGGCACACTAATTTTATTGCATTAGAATCGCTCGTTTTGGCAAGAACATTTTCACCGTTAAATTTTAGCATTTTGAAGTATCTTAATTTAATAAAATTAAAAAAAAAAAATCACAAAATAGCTGTGACAGATAATCTGCATGCTGCCATTTTTTTTTAATTTGGCGGCACACTCTTGAATCTTCACAGTTATGTTGTATTTTATGTCAGCTTCCATTGCCTCTAATAAGAATATTCTATTTGAAAACTTGAAAAAAAAATTAATAAAACAATCATGATTTTTACGACTGACATTGAAAAAAATAGTGATTTCGGTACTTTTTCGCCTAAATGAACTTTTTAAAATTAAAATTATTCAAATACTTCATTTATTATTTATTTTAATAGTTTTTAGAACTCCATTGATTGAAATATATGCAAGAAGAATGCTTTAGCGTTTTTTTCTAGAGAGAGAAAAACGGCCACTAAAAAACAACTCTTGAGATTTGCTTATACGTACATAAGAAAATAATATCGAATAATAAAATAATATACAATACAATAATAAAAATATCATCTTTCGACGAAAAAAATAAAAGTAAAAAAATAATCATTTATTCTGATCGAACAAAAATAAAACTCAAATCAAAACTAAAATTTTTATTTTTAATGGTATCTGTAGATTATAGTAGGACGTGCGAGTACATTTAAAATTGTTTTACTACATGTTGATTTTTTTGGTTAAAATTTCAAAAATTATAATAATTTTCCGTGTCTGGTTATTTATCAAGCGTATAGATAGACATCTATTATCAAATACTGATAAAGGTCCTGTACCTAGCTTACGTTAAAGCAACATTGCGCTGTATTTTAATTTTGCAAGCAAGCAAGTTTTAGTTATAAGCGCCAGGTATAAAAATAACAACCCTACCATAAATTAATATTGCGGACCATGCCAACTTTGGGCTGGCATGAAGGTGTGTGAATGAAAATACTTAAGCTACGAAGTTCGTAGCCGAAGAACTAATAAAAAAAAAAACAGAAAATGGCAAACAGTACAAAAAACATACTTTAGCGAACATAAAGTATCGAATACTGGTGAGTGCAGTCAGTTAAAGATAACAGCTAGTCTTTGCGATGACTTAAGAACAATGAAAATAGTGAAATACAAAATAAAAAAAATTCAGAAATGGAATAGTGCGCTAGCACTAGCACTTTTTTCTTACTTTTCATTTTTTTCCTACTTTCCAACTAATTTAGCAGCTTGATTTAGTGGGATATTGGTGATTTGGTGACTGTACATACATACATATGTATATGTATATAAATTACAGTAAATACCTTGTAGCGATTCTACAGTAGGTGGCAACTCAACTTATAATTATCACTTATGAAAATTAGCAACCCTGAATATTTTAGTATGTAAGATAAAATGCAACCCTAAACTAAGAAGAGGAAATAAAGAAAATTGTGATTTTGCTTTTGCTAGTCAGCGGAGAAAAACGTGGTTCTTATTTCAACATAAAATTAGCCAAACCAGCTAAATTGGTGACCCCGACGACTAATTTTCGCAACGCACCATCCTTTCGAAAAAATGGCCGAGAACGAAGTAACACCGGCTCCACATCAAGCAACTACGCCAAGCGATGTCCAGCAAAAACCTTCCAACAACGACTACCTGCTTAACCAAGAAAGCAATGGTATTTTCGTTAATAAAGTCAGCGTTAAAATACCACCATTCTGGGCTGAGCGACCAGAGATTTGGTTCGCGCAAATAGAAGCCCAGTTTTGCATTGCTGGAATCTCATCGGACATAACCAAATTTAACACTGTGATCGCATCCATTGAATCTCACGTATTAGCGCAAATTACGGAGGCAGTGCTACAACCACCAGCAGAAGGAAAATACGAAAACTTAAAAAAGTGCATCATCGACCGGTTCGGCGAAAGCGAAGAGAAAAAGATGAAAAAACTTTTATCTGAATGCGAGCTAGGTGACCGACGGCCCACACAACTTTTACGGGAGCTGAGTGGTCTCGCCCGAGACAGAATAAGCAACGAGTTTCTCAAATCCCTTTGGCTTCAGCGTTTGCCCCCTCAGACTCGCGCTATCCTTCAGGCATCCACATCTGAACTGCCCGAACTGGCCAAATTAGCTGACAAAATCATGGAAGTCAGCGATCACAACCACGTGGCAATGGCAACGAGGTTAGAAACACAGGTGGAGCCTACGAGTGAATCCAGCCGTATTGAGCGAATAGAGAGGCAGCTCGATCAACTGCAGCGTAAACAATCTAGGCCATCTGCAAAACGGCCTTCTTCAAAATTTACAACGAAAAAATCAGCTCCTGGTGAATTCTGCTGGTTTCATACGAAATTCGGCCGCAATGCACAAAAATGTCGCGACCCTTGCGGTTTCAATTCGAAGTCAAAAAACTAATGGGGGAGTCAGACCGCCGGCTGTCTACGTTCGACAAACCCGTAAGCAACATTGCACGCATCGCAATCACGGACAGCAACACCAAACTTAAATTCATAATTGACACCGGGGCCGATGTATCCGTTACACCAGTTCGACCAAGTGACAAATGTGGGAAAGCAGTAAACCTTCAATTATACGCAGCGAATGGCACGTCAATCAAAACGTACGGCGAACGACGCATGAGCCTATCCTTAGGTTTGGGAAAAAAACTTTGAGTGGACCTTCATCATAGCAGACGTCTCAGCGCACATCATCGGTTTAGACTTTTTACGTAAATTCAATTTACTCGTGGATCCAGTACGCAACATGCTTCACGACCGAACGACGCTTAACGAAGCTAAAGGTCACGCTATCCACGCGAACATATCATCAGTTGTAACTATCAAGGCGCCAGATAAATACGCTAGTCTGCTAGATGAGTTCAAGGAGTTAAGTATACTTAACAACGCGAAGAAATGCACGTCATCGAAAGTAACACACCACATAGTTACAACCGGTCCCGCAGTTTTCGCACGACCTCGCCGTCTCACAGGCGAAAAAACTAGACGCAGCAAAGCGTGAGTTTCAGTACATGCTAGAGCGGGGTATTTGTACGCCGTCGAACAGCGAATGGGCTAGTCCCCTGCACATGGTGCGCAAGGCCAACGGCGAGTGGAGACCGTGCGGGGACTACCGGTCGCTCAACGCCGTAACAACCGCCGACCGATACCCCATACCATTTTTACACGATGTCACGCATATATTGAATGGGAAATCCATTTTTTCGGTAATAGATTTACAACGTGCTTACAATCAGATACCTGTCGAGCCAAAAGATGTTCCTAAAACGGCAATTACGACGCCGTTCGGACTCTTCGAGTTTCACTTCATGACTTTTGGCTTACGAAACGCAGCGCAGACGTTTCAGCGGCACATTCACGACGTGTTGCAAGGAATCGATTTCGCATTTGCATATATAGACGACATCCTCGTGGCTTCTGCGAATCCAATCGAACACGAAAAACATTTACGGGAAATTTTCGAACGTTTAAAGAAGAATCATTTGGCCATTAATGCCAGCAAATGCCAATTTGGCAAAACTCAAGTTAACTTCCTCGGCCACGCCATCAGCGCGGAAGGGCTCAGACCCATGGATGTAAAGGTAGAGGCGATTCGCAAGTTTTCGAAACCAACTGTGGCCAAAGATCTGAAACGTTTTCTTGGAATGCTCAATTTTTATCGCCCCTTTTTGCCTAACGCTGTGAGCAACCAACGAAAATTGCAAGAATTAATAAAGGGCAACATCAAACACGACAAAACCATCATAAAATGGAACGAGGAAGCCAACGAAGCATTTACGGCTTGTAAAGATGAACTGGCCAACGCTACTCTCCTGAGTCACATGTCCCCGATTGCGGAACTGACTCTAACGACCGATGCCTCGAACAACGCAGTGGGTGCCGTAGTTCATCAAATCATCGGTGATGTACACCAGCCGCTCGGATTCTACTCAAAGCGACTAACGTCAGCGCAAGAAAAATATTCAACGTATGATCGGGAGTTGGTTGCGGTCTACCAGGCTATTCAGCATTTTCGCCACATACTAGAAGGTAGGCAATTCGTAATTTACACTGATCATAAACCCTTAATTTACGCCTTTACACAAACCGTAAACGATGCACCTCCTCGGAGAGCCCGCCAGCTAGATTTTATTTCCCAATTTTCTACCGACATAAGGCATTTGCCGGGGAAAGAGAACGACGTTGCCGACTTATTATCCCGAGTTCAGACGATGGACGCGCTAGACTTCGATGTCATCGCGAAGGCACAGTGCTCAGACGAGGAACTGAAGGAATATCTATCTTCATCAAATTCATCACTACAGCTGAAGAAAATTACTATACCCAACAGCTCCGCAGTCTTGATCTGCGACGCAAAACAAACTAGGTTACGGCCGATTGTACCAAGCAGCCTACGTCAACAGGTAATCGCAAAATTGCACAGCCTCGCACATCCCGGACGTAAAGCTTCGCAAAAACTAATATCGGAACGTTACGTGTGGCCAGGTATGGCGAAGGAGATCGCTCAGTTTGTGCGCCACTGTATTCAATGCCAGAAAAATAAAGTTCAACGGCATACTAAAGCTCCTCTTGGTGATTACAACAAAGCGGATAGCCGATTTGAACATATCCACTTGGATATCATAGGGCCGCTGCCGACATCGAATAATAACCGATACTGTCTTACCTGTATAGACCGATTTTCTCGGTGGCCAGCCGCAATACCCATCCCGGATATGTCCGCAGAAACGATTGCACGCGCCTTAATTGAGGGATGGATTGCACATTTCGGCGTACCCGTACAGATCACAACCGACTTAGGTCGGCAGTTCGAGTCGACAGTTTTCGGCGAGCTCATGCGCATCATGGGGATACGACACCTTAAAACAACGGCTTACCATCCCCAAGCCAATGGTATGATAGAGCGCTGGCATAGAACGCTTAAGGCCGCTATAAAGTGCCACAAAACGAAGGATTGGTGCGCAGTTCTCCCACTGGTCCTACTGGGCTTGCGAACCGCCATCAAACAAGATCTTCGAGCAAGTCCCTCTGATATGCTTTTTGGAACGCAATTACGGGTACCAGGCGAATTTTTTTGCCCTAGCGAAAGTAAGCTAAACGAAACGGAATTCATTAAGCAATTACGGCGGCACTTTGCTGCTGCTCAGCCAGGGAAAACAACTCGCCACGGGGCTCAGCTAACATTCGTCCAACCTGAGCTTAAAAATTGCGAATTCGTGTTTGTTCGAGTAGATCGCGTGCGTACAGCATTGGAAGAGCCGTACGAAGGACCATTCCAAGTGCTGAAACGGAACGAGAAATTTTTCAAGCTTCTCAGGAATCAAAAAACTATCACCGTTTCCATTGACCGCCTCAAGCCCGCTTTTTTGGAAGAAGGAACGCAAACAGTAGCCAAAGTGCCGTCGACGATAGTCAGCGAAGCGCTGCCACCACGAGTTACGAGGTCAAGGCAGCAGCCGCATAAGGTAATATCTAGCGGGGGAGCCCTGTAGCGATTCTACAGTAGGTGGCAACTCAACTTATAATTATCACTTATGAAAATTAGCAACCCTGAATATTTTAGTATGTAAGATAAAATGCAACCCTAAACTAAGAAGAGGAAATAAAGAAAATTGTGATTTTGCTTTTGCTAGTCAGCGGAGAAAAACGTGGTTCTTATTTCAACATAAAATTAGCCAAACCAGCTAAAACCTTTTAATTAGTCTCAGTGTGCCATGTAATATACATTGCTCATTTGAACCGAATTGAATCACAAATACGAGTTTTCAAAATACTTATTTTCCAAATACTCTGGTAATGGCTAGAATCTATATCTTATTTGCTCGAGGGAATTATCGAGATGAAGTATCCAAAGTCGGGACCAAGAAGTTGAAGTGGTTAAAATTTTAAGGAAAAATCTTCGGTATTTCGGAATGTTCAAATCTCGTGGCCTAAAATTTAATTTTTGCCTGGCTTCTAGATACTCGCCTGTAGGAATAAAACTAAGTATGGTTTCCCAAATTTTGCGAACGTATAGGTCTGCGCTGCAACACTTACCTTATACGCTGCCCCACTTTCTCTAATACCAGACATCTCGTAAGCACTACTGTAGGTTATTTACTGAAAGGTTCCAATGGAGTGCGGAGAAATTAACCAACTCAATTAAAAGTTACATATTACCTATTGCTGCTGGGTAAGTAAATACCCTCTACTCGCACATATGTTTATTGGACATATAACTTGATAGATGAGGCTCACCACTAACCACACTGGTGCGAACTAAAGCAACAAGATGCTGGCAAATTTAAGAGCCATCGCGCGCCGTTGGAAACCATTTTCAACTAAGCTTTAGCCGCTTCTTTAGCCCATAGTAACATTCTACATATTGAACTAAATATAAACGAATAGTTCCAACATTGTTGCTAAACTAGTAAATATGTACATAATTATGTGTGTATGTGTGTATGTATGTCTGGCAGAATATTTATACATATGTATGTGTCTGCTGCAGTATTTTGATTAACAGACGAAAGAGAAAAATAAACGAGAAATTAATAGAGCTCAGCTCATTGCTGGGTGCTCATCAAGGATATCTTGCACTCCATCTTATTTCACTTACGCCAACGGTTGGCAGCAATGACTTCTACATACATAGTTGTGCTGAACGTAAGGGGAAATTAAACGTTTACATTGACCTTATTTAGTGCATCGACTTTGACGGCTTGATGGACGTGTGAAGAATTACGAACTTAATTGGTTTTCAAAGTAGGCAAAAAGGCTAAGTGTGTTGCTGGCAGCGGTTTTCTTAGCCTTCCTTTCACACAGCTACATTTTTGCGTGTGTAAGTATGTAGTACACACATACGATTAATCTGCGATTGAAACAAAGTAGCTAATTGCATGTAAAAGTATTGTTAGATACATATACTTATACGCTTGTATATATGTTCATATGTAAAGGTAAGTGTGTATGTTAATTTTAGTTCACTTTTTCTTAGTTTTCTTAAGTATTCGATTTGGTTGGTTAATCCGTGGGATAAGTAAAAGATATGATGAGCAAGGCTGGCAAATCTAAGCAAATGCTTGAAAAATCTTATTTTCCATATATCTGGGAATATTCGACTTACGTTTTTTTTTTGCATATTTTACAACATTTTATACATTTTCGGGGAGCAAGGGACGATAGAAATGTGTGACATAAGGCGAATTGTGTTGTCATACTCCTTCTACCACCTTGTATGAATTCGCCTTGATACAATGCAAGCATACATATGTATATATTGCTACAGGTTGAAGAAATCCGAACAAATTTGGCGTTCATTAACGCAATATTGGTTATTTCATAAAGGGTATAACAAAACTTCAAACAAAAAGTTTGACATTGAAAGAAAGTTTGGATATTGTGACAACTGTGAATACC